ACCCTTGAATGCTAGTGAAGCGGTCTGCACTTGCTGTGACAGACAGCAGTCAGCCATTACGATTTTTCAGTATGGACTGGTAGAGTGGCTCAAGTGGCAGAGCACCTGCCTACCAAGTGTGAGGCCCTGTAAAAAAAAAAGAAAAAAAGGTTTTCAGTATGGCTGGGCTCCAGTGGCTCATCCCTGTAATCCTCGCTATGTGGGAAGCTGAGATCTCGAGGATGGCAGTTTCAGGTCTGCCCAGGCCAACAGTTCATGAGACTTCATCTCCAAAATAACCAGAGCAAAATGGACTGGATGTGTGCCTCACGCAGTAGAGCACCTGCTCTGCAAGTGTGAAGTCCTAAGTTCAAACCCAACCTCCCCACCAAAAAAAAAAAAAAAAATTGGGTATACTGGCTCATGTCTGTAATCCCAGCACTAGAGAGGCTGAGGTAGGAGGATTGTGAATTTGTAGTCAGCCTGAGCTACATAGGGAGACCCCTTTCTCAAAAAAAAAAAAAAAAAAAAAAAGATTATGGGAGTGATTGGTGTGTTGACAAGAAATTAATCTAGAAGTGTCATCAGTGTAGATCAGAGACAGGGAACTGGTTATGTTTCGAATCATTACATTTTTTATTGGGCCTTAAAGCTAAAAACTAATGCATTACTTTTAATTTGCAGTGATGCTTGGAAGAGGACAGCAGTCATTAAAAGCGTGTTCTCTAGTCGATCTCTTCTGAGCCTCGGTAATAAGCAAGCTAGCATCGTTGAATACCTGCCAACTCTTCGGAACATTTGTAGGATTGAGAAGCTAAAAGAACAAGGGAAAAATAAAAGAAGGTAAAGATTATTTTAAAAAGTAACATTTTAGATAGCTATTTCAAGATTAATAAATATGCTCAGATGGAAATATTAAATTATATTGCTCTTTATAACTTTGATAGGTTCCTGCACTATTTTGAAGGAATTCACCTTGACATTCCAAAAGAGACAGTGAATGCACTGGCAGCTGACTTCCCTTAAGAGTCCTCATTAACAAAGCCTTGTACAGAGCGTGTGGTCCGTAACAGGCATTTTTGTACTATGTTGATTTTCATGGAAGAATATTTCTCAATGTACATTTGAAACAGTCTGTTTGTATTTTTTATTGCTGTGCAAATATTTAAAATGAAAATTTTGAGTTAAAATTATATATATTATTGTAGTTTTTACTGAATTTTTTAATATTATCTAATTTCTCTTTGGTGTAATTTTTGTATGTGAGTGAGCTGTTTGTAGGAGATAGAGCTGTCTAAGACATTTCTAAAGATGCTTCATTGCTAAACTAATCTGTAACCTTTCCCTTTCCTGTTACCCTTTAATCTTTCCCTCTCCTCATGTCAGTGCTCTGTCATGCTGTACATATGAGGCTCATGGATGATATTCTTTCTAAAGGAAGTTTACAAAACACAGAACATAAAATTATAAATGCAATATTTAAGGAAACTTCCTAGGAAGAAAATTAAGCTTCATCTTTTAAAACAGCACTTTCTGTAAGTGTATTTCTAATATACTTTTTACCATTTTATCATTGAATTATTGAACATTCCAAATTACAGCTTTCATAAATTTTGTTTGAACCTCTGTGTACGTAATATTTTGTATATTTTGCCAACTCAAATAATTTGCCTTGTAAATTTTTCTTTGATTTCTGCATCATTGATGTTTTACTTCATAAAGATGTTGATGATATTAATATATCTATTTTGGACAAGCTACTACTGTTCACTAAAACAACAACAAAGGAGGATTCTACCATAGGGCTTCTGCATAACAGCTATTTCTATTAAAGGTTATGCTGTTTTTTAAATTTTATTATTATTATTTTTTTTGTTTTTGTGATATGGTGTTTGAACTCAGGGCCTCATGCTTGTTAGGCATGATCTCTATCACTTGAGCCACACCGCTAGCCCTTTTTTGTGTTGGGTATTTTCAAGATAGGGTCTCGACAACTATTTGCCCAGGCTGGCCTCAAACCTCGATCCTCCTAATCTCTGCCTTCTGAGTAGCAAGGATTACAGGTATAACCCACCAGTGCCTGGCTAAAGTTTGTGTTTTTGATTTTATCAAGGGATCAAATCAAGGATGTTGCACACATTCTCGGGAAGCACCCTCCCTATAAACATAGAACCCCAGCCCTATTTTGTTTTTGAGAAAGGGTCTGGATATGTTGCCCAGGCTGACCCCAAACTCTCAAGCTCAAGAGGTCCTGCTTCAGCCTTCTAAACAGCTGTAATTACAAGCACAAGGTATAATACCTTGGCAAGTTTTATGGTTTTTTTTTAAAGTACATATTTTTTACTCTTTTAGCAAGATTTTAAAACATCACATTTCATTTAAAATTATTTTGCAGTAAGATAATCAAGTGTGTTTAAAATCACTCCATGTTTCAAATGTTTAGATTGTATAATATCTTAATATTCAGATACATTATCTGATGAATTGTATTTTTAACTCTAAAGGATCCTAATTCTGTAATTTTTTTAAAGTATAGGTGCATACCTGTTTACAAATGTGTACAAAGACTTATTTTTACCTCTTATTTGTTTAGGCTACTTTTTCTTGTATTGATAAGTATACTGATATGATTAAAGATTAAAGCTAAGGGCTTTATGTGGTATTTAAATAGGAGTTCAAGATGTAATCATCTTGGTAAATGTATATGTTGTGTAGGTTTGGATATAGGCTTTATCGAGATTACATCCCTGTACAACTGAGGTCCTAATGGTGACCATTTAGCTATTAATTAGGTGTTTTGTTATTAGAAAGTCTCTGATAATTCTCAACAATTGATGAACCAAAATAAGGTAACTCCATAGAACTGTACTCAAGATAAAACAAAAAACCAGCAAATAGTGGGGGCTATCTTCCTCCTTAATAGAGACACATTTGAGATAATATGTGTGTATATATGTATATATAATTTGGTGGGACTGGTATTTGAACTCAAGACTTCAGTACTTACAAAGCAAGCACTCTACTGCTTAAGCCACACCCCAGCCCATTTACTCTGGTTTATTTTGGAGGTGGTATCACAAGAACTATTTGCCCAGGCTGATCTTGAACCAAATAGCTAGGATTACAGGCATGAGCCCAACTAGATTTGATATAATTTGGAGTAAATTTTCATGGTTTTTTTTTTTCTTAGTCATTTTTCAAATAGGGTCTCGTATTTGCTCAGGACTGGCCTCAGATCCTTCTACCTATGACTTCCTGCCTATAGCCACCTGTGTAGCTGGAAGTGACATCCAGCTTATTGGTTGGGGGGGGTGGGGGAGTGTCTCACTAACTTTTTGCCTGGGCTGGCCTTGAACTGAGGTCCTCCTGATCTCTCTGCCTCTCAAATAGCTTCTGCACCCAAGCTTTTTTTGTTGTTGTGTTTTTGAGGCGGGGTCTCACTCTGTAGGCCAGGCTGGCCTCAAACTCATGATCCTGCTTCAGCCTCCCTAGTGCACCACCACATCCAACTCCAGCTTTTCATTCTTTTTTTCTTTTCTTTTATTATTCATATTGCATACAAGGCTTGGGTCATTTCTCCCCCCTGCCCCCGCCCCCTCCCTTACCACCCACTCCCCCCCTCCCTCTCCCCCCCTTTCATTCTTAACTGTGACAGATTCCTATAAAGTTTAGATTCAATCTTGTGATGAAAGCAACAAATTTTGATGACTTAAATACTTTGCCCCATCCTCTTAATTCCTAAAATTGACACATTTTCATGTATAGCTATTTCCAGAAATATGTAGGAGGTAGAATGACATGTTCTGAAATAAATAACTGGATAGCTGGTGAAGAGAATAATTTCCTTTTTGACATGCACAGTTTGAGCAATCTACACTATTTCAAAGGCAGAGATTTATAAGTACACAATCACATATGTAAATGTGGAAGCTTACAAGTGCATGGCAAGTCTAGACTGCTCACCAACACTGGAGAGTTGTAGTAGCTTGTAGCAGGACTTCTCCTTGCTTTATACTTTTTTTTTTTTTTGGTGGGACAAGTTTAAACTTGGGACTTTGCATTTGCAAAGCAGTCACTCTACCACTTGAGCCACACCTCCAGTAGATTTTGCTGTAGTTGTTTTGGAGATGGAGTTTTGTGAACTATTTACCTGGGCTGGCCAGATCTCAGCTTCCTGAGTAGCTAGAATTACAGGCATGAGTCTTTTTTTTTCCAACAAGCATATTTTTATTTTGGATTAAACAACAGATTTAAAGCCAGGCGCCAGTGGCTCACACATAATCCTGGCTACCTAGGAAGCAGAGGTCAATTCTTTGTTTTTTAGGATTGCAGTTCTAAGCCAGCCCAGATGAATAGCCCAGGCGAATAGTTCAAGAGACCAAGTGACTCAAGTGGTAGAGCACTTGCCTAGCAAGCGTGAGGCCAAGTTCAAACCCTAGTATCACCAATTAAAAAAAAAAAAAAAAAGATTTGGGTTCAGTATAGAAGATTTAATGAGTCCCCAAATTATGACAGTCATAATGGAAAACTGAGAGGGATGAAGAAAAAAATGGAAGTGTGATATTTTAATCAAAAGATGGTCGAGGTACTTCAAAGTAAAAAAAAGTCCATTAGAAAATGTTGTGGGGTTAATAGATTTCAGCTGATAAAAATTGCCTCTTGCAGGGCTGATGGAGTGGCTCAAACGGTAGAGTGCCTGCCTAGCAAGTGCAAAACCCTGAATTCAGTCCCACATACCACCACCAATCAAAAAAAGAAAATTGCCTCTTATAGACACTGTCAAGTCACATTCTACCTGGAGAATAAGTTGTGATTGTCTTAAGTACCACCCAGAAAAATCATTCTCTGTTTTAATAATATGGTAATGCAAATCCTTAGTATAGATGGTGTTTTGTTTTTGGGTTTTATTTTGGGTGGTTCTGGGGTTTGAATTCAGAGCCTCATCTTGCTAGGCAGGTGCTCTACCACTCAAGCCATGCCTCCAGCCATTTTTTGATTTTTTAGTTTTTTGACCCAGAGTCTCCCTATGTAATCCACAAATTCTCCTGCCTTACCTTCCCAAGTGCTGGGATTATAGATGTGGAAGTGAGTGGTATTTGTTTTTATTTTTGGTAAGACTGGGATTTTTTCTTATAGTACTGGGGATAAACCCAGGGTTTTGTGCATTGCTAGGCAAGCACTCTACCACTTGAGCTATAGTTCCAGCCCATTTTGCTTTGGTTATTTTGGAGATGGGGTCTTGTAAAATATTTGCCCACATTGGTCTCCAACGAAGATCCTCCCAATCTCAGCCTCCCAAGTAGCTAGGATTACAAGCATGAGCCACAGTGCCCAGCTGGTATTTGCTTTTACAGAAAGATAACTTTGTTTCTTATTCTGGCTGTCTGGGCAGGCACCTTATTAACTGGAAAGGCACAGTATCTCAAAATAAAATATTTATTGATTTGGTCTTGACTTATTATTGCGTACACCATTTCACACCCAAAAATCTGACTTTATAAACAAAGAATACACTAAAGACGTGTTTTCTCCATTAACATGGGTATTCAGAACAGTTGCTTTTACAATTTTAGAATAAATTAAAATAACAGAGTAGGTTCATTAATCTCAGTGTTCTAAGGCTAAGTATCAAAAACTGCTAATTCATAGAAAGCAACAGCCTGTAGTAGTGAGTCATAAAACTCTTCTATCCGGTATGGGTCTGTAGGTAAAAACATCTGTCTGTAGTGCACCATCTTCTCTGGTGGGAAGAACACCCGTGGCTCTGCCTTCAGTACAGATTCGGAGAGGAGCTGCTTCACCAGTTCTTTCCCACTAGTGCGAGTGTCGCCAATCATCAGTTCAAAGTGCTTCCCCACTGCATTTCGATTCATGCTCAGCACCCGGTGCTGGCCGTCCTGAGCAAAAGCTCTATTTAGTAAGGCATACAACATGGCCTCCGTGATGTGAAAATGTAACAGTATGGGAAACAGAGATGAGTTCTGAATGGAAAGTCCTGTTTTTTCTAGAACATAGAAATCTGCTTTAGGCATCTTTGAAATGACTGAAGAAATCTTTAAAAAAGAAAAGAAAAAAGACAAAATAAGAGCGGAAATCATTAAGTTTTATGTTTGGGCCCACTTTCTGTCCCATTGGTATCTTAAACTATTATAATCAGGTAACTTACACTGCTATTGAAAATTTTTAAATAACTGAAAAGCTTTTTTATGGGCAGCCCATTTCTGGTCATGGTTCTCTCAAGAACAAGCCAAGATAAGCTGGTCAGTCCTTGGAACTACTAGTTTCTTCCTCTATGAAATAGGCTGCATAATTTCTATTTTGAATATAAAATTAGTAAAGTTAAAGTGTTTATCAACTGTTTAAAATGTTCTAGGGTAAAGCACAGGGTTAGAACAATTAGCTAAGAACTGGTCATCTCTGCACATGACAAGATGCTTGCTGCACTACAGTTTTCATGAGCATCACCGTGATAATTCCTGCGCATTTCATGAGACAAGCGATAGCATTTTGAAAATAAGCTTAAAAGACAATGGTAATGTTGTGTAACATTAGAGTAATATAGTTTACCACTCATTTTCTCAATGTCTGCCTTTGACATGGGGCATTTCTTCAACTAATCAAAAAATCAAAGGTGACAAAAACAACAGAACAGTGAGAAGTACAAAAAGCAAACTCCTTCCTATTTACATTCCTTTTAGAACTAGAAAATTAAACTATACAAGGAGATATGTAGGAATGCACAAGGAGGTGCACAAGTAACAGGAATTTGGAGGTGCAACTGCCTTACCTCTTCTAAATAGACTGATGATGAGTGTGGTCTATTCATTAGTTTCCGACAGTCACTTTGCTGCCAATCCAGTACTGTCAATTTACGATCAAGGTGCGCCCATGCAATTCTTCGAGTACCAAAAACAATAGATACAATGCTCTTAACTGCCTAAAGCAAAAGGTCTGGTTTAATTATAAATGCAAACATTTTAACAGGTGCAAAGTCTAATCTACAAATTCAGAATCCTAACTCATTTATGTAATATACATTTATTTAGTTTCTGAACTGAGAATTATTAAAGTGTTGGCAGGGTCTGTATTAGATAGTAGAAAATAAGGAACATAACTATCTCATAAGAAATTTGGCCAAGCCATGTGGGGTGATGCAGGCCTGTAATCCCAGCTACACGGGAGGCAGAGGCAGGGAGATCTCGAGTTTGAGCCCAGCCCAGGCAAAAATTATAGCGACCCTACTCAAAATCAACCAAAAGGCTGTGGGCATGGTTCAGGTGGTAGAGTGCTGGCCTAGCAGGCACAAGGCCATGAGTTTACCCCCAGTACTGCAATGAAAATAAATATCACCATACAACAGTTACTGTGCAAGGAGAAGGAGCCAAGAAGATTTATTGGAGGACTAGGAGAATGGGTAAAATGATAAATGGGAAGTTATTTTACCCAGATGTCTGCAAAGGTAAGACTGACCTCTCACCTCACTGGAATAAAGACTGAGTGGGTAAAGGACAAAGAGGTAGAGACAGACTTCTATAGAATTAAGGAACTTGCTTTATCCTGACAACTACAGAGGGTCACCAAAGTGCTGTGCGCGTGCGTGCGCGCATGTGTGTGTGTGTGTGTGTTGTGTGTGTGTGTGTTTTAAGACAACATTGCACTATGTAGCCCAGGTGGGACTTGAACCTGTGATCCTTTTGCCTCAGCTTCACAAGAAGCTGGGATCAGGGGGTGGGGGGATAGGGGGAAGAAACAGCCCAAACAATGTATACACATATGAATAAACAAATTAAAAAAAAAAAAAAGAAGAAGAAGAAGAAGAAGCTGGGATCAGAGGCATGCATACCACGCCTAGCTCTAGAGCATATATTTTAAGGAATAACGTAAGATTCACATTTCAGAAAAATCACTGACAGCTGTGTGGGAAATGGACTGGAGAAGATTAGATGAAAGGTAAGGATTTGTGTTAGGTACTAATATGACAGAATATTAAAAATCAGTCTGGATGTGGGATACCTGTCTTTAATCCCAGCAAGCAGGAGGCTGAGGCAGGAGGAGTGTGAGGTCAAGGCCAGCCTGGGCTACATAGTGAAACCCTATCTCACAAAATAAGTAACAAAAAAAATTAAAAATAAAACACAATGACAGAAGGAAAAGAAATAGGTTAGAGATAGTGGGAGGAGCCTATGGTGACCAGTGTTTTCCTCCAGTGACTGAATGGCACCATTAATCAAGATGAAGATTGGAGGCAAATTAAGTTGAGAAGGTCAGCGAAAAAGAGGTGTTTCTTTGTTGTTTTATTTGTTTTTGGTGGTACAGGACTATATGCTTGCTAGGCAGGTGCTCTACCACTTGAGCCATGTACCCAGTCCCTGGCTTAAAGGCAGAATAATAGCCAGGTTGTGCTGGCACAAATCTGTGTCTCTGTCAGGAGACAGAGACAGAATTGAGAGTTCAAGGCCAGCCTGGGCTACAGAGAGACCCTGACTAGAAAAGAAAAAAGGCAGAATAGTTTCTGCAAAATGAAAAATACAGATTTCTTTTTTTTAGCTCAGTGGCTCTCAAACTGTAGTGTGCATGAACATTACTGAATCATTTGCATGTAGCAACTCTTTGTGCAAAAGATTTTTTTTTTTGGCTATACTATACTAGGGTTTGAACTCAGGGCCTTAAGCTTGCCACTTGAGCCACACCTCCAGCCCTTTTTTGTTTTAGGTTATTTTTCAGATAGGGTCTCCCTTTTTTGCCCATGGCCAGCCTCAGACTGTGATCCTTCCTCATAGCTGGGATTACAGGTATGTGCCTCCTAACCCAGCAAGATTTTTTTTTTTAAAAAAGGAGCTCACTACACAATTTTATCCACATATATTGACTTTAAAACCTAACCACAGCTGGGCACCAGTGGCTTACACCTGTAATCCTAGCTACTTGAGAGGCTGAGATTGGGAGGATGGAGGTTCCAGGCCAGCCCAGGCAAATAGTTCGAGAGACCCCCATCTCCAAAATAACCAGACCAAAACTGACTGGAGGTGTGGCTCAAGCAGAAAAGTGTCTTCTTTGCAAGTGCAAAGCCCAAGTTCAAACCCCAGTCCTACCAAAAAAAAAAAACTACTCCCCAAGCCAGGTGCAATGGCTCATTCCTATAATCCCAGCTACCTAGAAAGTAGATATCCAGAGAATCACATTTGGAGGTCAGTCCAGGGTAAATTAGCAAGATCCATCTCAACAAATAAATTGGGCATAGTCATATGTGCCTGTAATCTGAGCTATGGTGTGAAGCATAAATAGGAGGATCATGATCCAATCTGGCCCAAGCATACAGCTAAACCCTATCTGAAAGATAATTAGTAAAGCAAAGAGGGCTGGGGGTATGGTTCAAGTGACAGAGTGCCTGCCTAACATGAGGCTCTGAGTTCAAATCCCAGCACGCTAAATAAGATGCAACCCCACTATAATGTGAGTATAAACAGTTTTAGCTATGAATCTGGATGACAATCCTCCCTGAAAAATGTGGATAATAGCAAGTTTGAATCCCTTAGTTCAAGCCCCAGAACTGCAAAAAAAAGAAAAAACCCACATGGATGAAACATGTTCCTGATCAACTGAAGCAGTTCTATTCTGAGTCCATGAAGTCCACATCCATACAGTCCCTGAGTGTATATGCAGCATTCTGAGTATGTGTGCCATGCAGGGATACATGTAAATGGATGAGTATCTCACACACACACACACACACACACACACACACACACACGAGACAGTCCATAGCTTTCATCAGGTTTTCAAAAATTATTCATATTCCCCCAAAACACTGAGAACCACTGTTCTAGAAAAAAAATGATGCTTATTATTGTTGGTGGGATAAGAGAACATTTTATCAAGGGGTATTAACTAACACAGGACCTAAGTTCCTCCAAAGTTCAGTGTGTAACTATTGTGTCAAGTAACTCAAATACTATATATATATATATATAAGTAAGAGTATGTCTAGATCCACCAACTAAACCTGAAGAACCCTGTCTTAGTACCCCCCAACCCAATGCTCAGAACAGTATTTTACAGAGTAAGTTCTTAAATATTAAGCAGTAAAACAGACCCTAAGAAAAAAGTGTATACCTTAAGTCTCTCTCTTTCAATGTCTGGTTTGATGAGCTTTCCCAGCTGGTTTTCCCATGACTTTCTTTTTTTCTTTCCAGTCTCTGGAAAAAGAATGGAGTTACAAACTTGAACAGCAGTTTTATACTGTAACAAGGGCACATTCACCAAACTCTCCAAATTTTGAAATGGCCCAAACTTTTCTCTGTGCTCTACAATATTGATGGATTTTCTTCCATGAAGCAATTTGAAAGCTTCAAGTTCCTTCTTCGATGCTGTATTCAACACATGCAAGATAGAGGCCTGCTGTTCTGAAGAGAAGAGCTTGTCAAGTGCTTTTCCAGACTCCTTTGCATTCTCATCACCGATAGCAACATTGGTAAGAATTTTCTCAGATGCAGAGAATTTTTTCCCGCAGCAGAAATTACGGAAGGCCTGAGTCAGGGATGACTCCAGTGGGACTGAAAAGCATCTCCACCATCCTAGAAGGAAAATTTAGCAAAATTTAAGTTGGGATGTCCTACTTTTAGTGTAAGTTACAAGCTTGGCAGGATCTTTTGCAAAGTCACATAGACTTGCATATAATTTAAGAAATACTGGACCATAGTAAGCTGTGCAGAATTATCTTTAAAATAGGTTTTAACTAGGGCTTTTGTTTTCAGGTTTTTTTGAGTTTTTTTATTTGGCAGTACTGGGGTTTGACCTTAGGTATTGCACTTGCTAAGTAGGTGCTCTATCACTTGATCCAACTCCCCTGCCATTTTTGCTGTAGTTACTTTTCCCAGATCCTATTTATGCCTTCTGAAGTATCTGGGATCACAGGTGCACACCACTGCAAAAAGTTTATTGGTTGAGATGGCATCGAGGGCCTAGAAACTAGTTCCTCCTAATCTCTGCCTCCCAAGTAGCTTGGGATCACAGATGCCAGCCACTGCACCCAGACACTTTTGTTGCTTTTAAGTCACAAGCAATGTCCTCTGATATTTAAGGATCACTCCTAAGTTTCACTACCTAGAAATTGTATTTTATACCAATCAAGAAGTTGTAGTTGGGGGAGGGGGGCAGTGGCTCATACCTATAACCATATCTACCTTCGAGGCTGAGTTTGGGAGGATCACAGTTCCAAGCCTGTCTTTTCTCAACAGAAAAAGGTGGTGTGAGCCAGTCATCCCAGCTATGGTGGGAGAATTAAAATAGGAGGATCTTGATCAAGGCTGGTCTGGGGGAAAAAAATGCAAGACCCTTCAAAACAACAAGAGCAGGAAGGATTGGAGGTGTGGCTTCAGTGCAGAGGCCCTGCCTAGAAAGTGTGAAGCCCTGGTGAATTCAAACCCCAGTACTGCAAAAAAAAAAAAAAAAAGTTGTAGTTAAGGGCTGAAAGTATAGTTCAGTGGCAGGTAGAGTTCTTGACCAGCATGCTCAAAGCCCTGGGTTCTAGCCCCAGAACTGCTTCGTTTTTTGTTAAAATAGTAATTTCGATTATTTGACTTTTTAAAAATATTTGTAACATTACAGGGATTTACCTCCATTTCCATTTTCACTAGTTTTTCGTCTGGTGGAACTAAAGAAAATGAAATCTTATACATTTCTAAGAAATGTTTAGGGCTGGTGGTAGACTGCCTGCCTAGAAAGTGCTAAGACCCTAAGTTCAAACCCCAGTACCGCCAACATATACACATATTACAATTTTATATACATTATATGTAATGTACTTGCAATATACAAATATATAAAAATATATATAATACATATTTTATGTACAGAATGTATTTTATATATATTTGGCGATACTGGGGTTTGAACTCGGTACCACTACATATATGGTGTGTGTGTATCTCTCTATGTGTACATATATGTAACGTGTATCTACCTATGTAGAGATACACTACATAGATGCGGTACTATCATCCATTCATGCTTGCTATCAGGCGCTCTACCACTTCACCCATTCTCCCAGCCCAAAGGTTTTATATTTAAGGATGGCTTTATTTCCTTCCGGACACTTCTCAAGATTTCTACCATGGCTAAGTTTTTTGCAAGCAGAACAAACACCACACGATGAAAAACTAACGCAGTGCAAAGCGCCTCGGACACGGAGGCGGCCGGAGGTAAGCAAGCTGATGCTGGGATCCGAATCCTCCGCCTGCCGCCCGCTCGGGAAGGAGCCCGAGAGGCCCCAAGGCCCGAGACTCGGGGACCACCGCCATCCCGTCAGCCCGGCCCGCGCTCCACGTGTACGGGACACGAGGAGAGCCACCCTTTAGGATCAGAGGCTGATGGCAAGTGGGAAACCAGCTGTACTCCAAACACCCTACCTCCCGCCTTGAGGAGCCAAGGACTGATCATCCTCCGATATTCGTACAGTCTTTCCGGTTCCTGCGTGCTTCACTCAAAAGCCCCCGGCGTGGGCTGGGCAGAAAGGTTCCGGCCGAAGCGAGGTGCGTCCAGAGGAAGCAATGCGTTGCCTGCGGTTTGCCAGCGGCCTTCTTCCGGTTGGATGCTGAGCGGGCGGGATCTTCCGGAAGGAAACGCCTAGACTAAATTTAGTCTGTAGTACTTAAGGTCGGTGTTTGGGGAAGACGAAGTTTATTGCAGACACGCAGGTTGAGGAGCGTAGATAAGTACATGATAAACATATCACAGAGTAGAGGGAAATAACGAGGAGACAGGCGAAGTGTTTGAGAAGCTCGGCAAGGAAGAGAGGGCAGGCAGGATTAGGGAAGGGCAAGGTAGGAGGGGATGGCGTGGGTACTGGGGACTGTAGTTCATTTGGAAGTATGGAGTTTGGTCTTTCAATGCAGGGTGGAAAGGTTGAATAGATACAGCAGATCTCTGCTTTTTGAGTTACAAAGTCAGACTGGAGGGGTGTTCCTAGAAGAACCAGCTATTTGTAGCCAATGTGAGGCTGGATTGGAGGTGAAGAGCCTGGAGTAAGGAGAGGAGTGGGGAAGCTACTGTAGCTTCCCACGGAAGAGGGAGCAGGGAGGAACTGAACCTGGGAGACATAAGGAAAGGAGAGAAAAGCATTCTTCCTGGAAGATGGAGACTTTAATCAGGTTTGTGAAAAACAGGGAATTCAGGAGGGAGAGGGAAGGTGGTAGGTTTGTGTTTTTCTGGGCATCAGTGGATCTCTTGTCCTTCTGGATATTTGTCTCGAAGGCACTGGGGATGGGAAGAATCTAAGTATTAATAAGAATTGCTCGTAAAAGAGTCGGTTGTGGTGGCACACAACACTTGGGAAGCTGAGGTAGGAGGATTCCCGACTTCGAGGTCAGCCTAGGCTAGCTACTGCCTCAAAAAAAAAGTTACAGTAATTTTAAGAATCTTGGTGGTTTCTGTGGAATTTGGGAATATAACAAGAAATAAAGTCAGCTTTTTTGTGTAAAATCTTTCAAATCAGAAGGAAATTATTTCCTTTCCATTCCAGAGGTCATTCACATTTAATGTGCTGTTACGGTTGAATTGCATCATTTAAAAAAGTTGGGTTGAGGCCTCAGGCCTCAGAATATGAACTTGTGCCAGACACTGGTGACTCACACCTGTAATCCTAGCTACTCAGGAAGCAGAGATCAGGAGAATCGAGGTTCAAAGTCAGCCCTGGCAAATAGTTCTAAAGACCCTATCTCGGAAATACCCATCACAAAAAAAGGGCTGAAGGAGTGGCTCAAGGTGTAGGCCCCAGTACAAACTCCCCAGTACCACAAAAAAAAAAAAAAAAAGTGAACTTGTTTGGGAATAAGATAATTATAATTAGTTAAAATGAGGTAGGGGTTAAGGGTGTAACTCAGTGGTAGAGTTCTTGCCTACCTTGCATGAGACTGGATAACCCCAGCACAGCACAAACAAAAAAGGTGAAAATGCCAGATGCAGTCCTGTAAGAAGTACTTAAATTGCTTTTGCTGAAAAGCACTGACTCTTTATTCAGTCCCATGAAGTAACTGAAAGCAAGAGAAAAGCTTGGCATCCCTGCCTCCATCTTGTATGTCTTTGCTCTAAGCCATTCTCTGCAGTCATTTTGCAATCACCTTGGGGTCTAGGAAGGACAGAACTGATCAATAACATCTTTATGACAAGGGACAGAAACTACCCCTAAGGGATTGGAGTTGTGGCTCAAGCCCTGAGTTCAAACTCTAGTCCCACCAGAAAAAAAAAAAAAAAAAACTAAGCCAGGTGCTGTTGGCTCAATCCTGTAATCCTAGCTAATTGGGAGGCAAAGATAGGAGGTTTGAGGCCAGCCCAGGCAAATAGTTCAAGAGACCCCCCATCTCCAAAATAACCAGAGCAAAATAGACTGGAGGTGTGGCTCAAGTGATAGAGTGCCTGCTCTGCAAGCGCAAAGCCCTGCATTCAAACCCCAGTCTTAACGAAAGAGAAAAACTACTACTAAGGAACAGCGGAACCTCAAAGGACAAATCACCTCAAAGGACAGTGGGGCGGGTGGAGTGGCTCCAGTGGTAGAGCGCCTGCCTAGCAAGTGTGTGGGCCTGAGTTCAAACCCCAGTACCACAAAAAATAAATAAAAAGGACAATTACCTATAAGATGAGGCTGTACCTGGAGCACAGTAATCGCCTCATGGGAACCAGATTGCTCCCCTCAAGTTCACTGGAACTCTCGAAAAGCAAGTACTGAGATAATTGTCAAACAGGCCCCACCTGGCCAGCGCCACCTTAACCATTGGAACACACTTGATTGGAATTGTTTAATTATGCATATCTTCTGCCCCATCCCAATTCTTTGTTTATTTAGACCCATAACTCATGTCTGTACCCTGAAGATGAACTGAAATGCTGTCTTCCCATGGGGTTTGTTCCTGGGGTCTAAAACTCCAGTGAGAGGGAGAAAAGAGATTACACTGCATTGGGACAGTTGTCCAGAGCCTGGCCGTTGTAAATGCTGTGTGAACATGAACATAGAATGGCAGGGAACAGAGCCCTCACAAGGAACCAACCTTGATGACATACCGTTTTTAGACTTCTGGCCTTCTGAACTGTAAGATAATAATTTTTTTGTTGTTTTTGGCAGTACTGGAGTTTGAACGGCCTCGTGCTTGCTAAATAGGTGCTCTACCACTTGAGCCACTTCCCCAACCTTTTTTTTGATTTTTTGAGTAGGGTCTCAGTTTTTGCTGGGCCAGCCTGGACCATGGTCCTCCTATTTATGCCTCTCACATAGCTGGGATGACAGTCGTGATGAGAGAATGAAATTCTGTTATTTTAAGCCACAAAATTCACAGTAATTTGTTTCAGTAGCCCTAGGAAACTGATACCTGAGAAGTTCTGGTGCTTTCACAGATAGTTGTGGTTCACTGGCAAGACTCAACCAAGCACTTACAAACCACAGGAGCTTAGCAGTTTCTTACTGTCTCTGAGCCTCTGCTTCCTCCTTTGTAAAATGGAGACAATGGCACTTGCCTCACAGGAGTGCTTGGAGAATTAATGAGAAACTGGATGCAGAGAACCCACACAGTCTAAAGGTTCAGCCAACACTAGTTCCCATTAACCCATCACCTGTTCTGCAGAACTAATTATTAGTGGCCTTGAGGGGAAGCTCCCTCATCCCTCAGAGCATTTGCTCAAAACTATACTTTGACCAGAGACTGGAGGTGGTAGGGAAGGGACAACCAGTGCTCATGAGTCACTGTAAATCCGACGCCGTGACTTCAAAATGAAAGTCGTCATCTTCCTCCAGAAATTCCTCCTCACTTTTTTTTTTATCACCCTAGCTCAGGTTAACTCAGGTTAATTTTGTTTGGAGAAAACATTACAAATGAATTCTCCATTATAGCTTCATGACCTTGAGATAGGCAAATATTAAACAGGGCATTTACAAAAGCATGGAAGTTAAGGAAAAATAGTTTAATAGTAGGCACCTTTGAGAGGGTAAAAAGGCAAGCTACAGTGATATTTGCAGCAATATAACTAACAAAGAACTTGTATTCAGAATATATTTTCAAAATTCCTGGAAATTAGTAAGAAAAGGTAATTCAGCTGGGGAATTGGTTCAGTAGCAGTGTTTGCCTAGTATACATGAGGCCCTGGGTTTCATCCCAAGGACAGAAAAAAGGAACCCAATTTTAAAAAATGGGCAGAGTAAATAGGTAATTTACCTAGAGGATATTCAAATGACAAATAAGAGAAAAAAAGGTATTCAAAGCCAGTTGTGGTGGCAAATGCCTGTGATCCCAGCTACTCAGAAAGTGGAGATAAGAGGATCTCACTTTGAGGCCAGCCTGGGCAAAAGTGTGAGACCCTATCTGAAAAATAAAACTAAAAGCAAAAGGACTTGAAGGAGTGGCTCAAGAGGTAGAGCAAGCACAAGGCCCTGAGTTTAATCCCTGGTACTGCCAAAAAAGAATAAAATAAAAGGTGTTAAATTTTATTAATCATTAGGGAAATGCAAATTTCTCTACCACATTGTGATACCACTACATATTTATGAGGATATTGAAAATGAAGAAGACTGACGTTACTGATGGACCAATGGATTGGAGTTTTAGCAAGGAAACCTCATACATGCTGGTGGAAGTGTGAGTCTGTAGAATCATTTTGTAAAACTGGCAGAACTGCACTTGGCAGAAATAGGAGTTTTTTAGGATATCTACCATCTCCTTCCCCACCCCCAAGCTCTGGGTTCTAATTAAACACCATGAGCACTTTGTAAAATCCATCAAGCTGCTGGGTGCCGGTGGCTCCTGCCAGTAATCCTACATACTTGGGAGACTGAGATTGGGAGGATTGAGGTTCGAGGCCAGCCTGAGCAAATAGTTCAGGAAACTCTATCTTCAAAATAACCAGAGCAAAATAAAGGACTGGATGTGTGGCTCAAGTAGTAGAGGGCCTGCTTTGCAAAAGCAAAGTCCTGAGTTCAACTCCACCCCCTAAAAACTGTATCTAGCTGTATGCTTATGATTTGTGCAATTTTCTGTAGTGGTTATAGTTCAATAAGAGATTACTTAAATTTTTAATTTTCAAAATTTCTTTGAATTAGATTTGCATCATATAAGGTCTGAAAGTTTACTTAGTGACATAATCTACTCTGTTTAGTCCTCAAAATCATTCACCTCCTGAAATGCAGTCAGAATCCCAAGAAAGGGCTGCAGATTCTTGCATATCATTCAGGCATTCAGGGCAGGGAGCACCTGACATATCTTGGCCGACTCCCGTGGTGATATTTTATAAAGGGATAATTAGTCCAACTAATCCTTATCTGGGATGTTCTATTTTCTTATTTTTCAATATTTCATAGAACTAAAATTATTAAGCAAATTTGCAAAAAAAAAAAAAAAAAACCTCTCAATTTGAGACACAGAATCAGGATACTTGGGCTCCAACTCCAACACTGCTACAGACTACATATGTGCAAACATAGAGCCTTGAGTTCAAACCCCAGTCTCACCAAAAAAGCAAAAGCAAAACA